TAATTATAATCCTGAATATCGGAATGTCAGCATATATTTTGGTATGTTTTCTCAGTGAAGTTATGCCTGTCATGACTCATATTTCAGTTTTCAATATTATATGAATAAAAGTCAAAAACATCTCATTATGTGAAAATGACAATAATGCAGAATTGTAGGCTCGAAGCACTAAGCAATCAGAGGCATGCAGGGTTGCAGACCGCCAATTCAGGTCCATTTGGCCATGCAGCATTCTGTAGCAGAAGACCAGCTTTGACGTAGTGGACAGATTGAGCCTGTTCCTCAGTTTTGAATGGATGTATCCAAAGTTTGAACAGATTCATTCGATGCTTGCAGAATTTGCTGGACACCGATGCAATTATTTTTCTGTTTCCCGGTTTAAGCGGATATTTACCAGCACCATGTCCTAAACTAGTTTTTCCTGGGCAATTGCCAACCCTGCTTAGTTCTCAAGATTTTCCAGATTACTGTTTGCTACCACATTGTCAGTTAGTCCCAGAGATAATGCAGTTTAATTGGCAACATGCCCTTTGGCAGTTGTTATTGTGGTTTCCAAACTAATCAATCCTTTTGTCTTTCTCCCTGTAAGCAATCTTCCATTTTACTGAGCTTATCTGAAATGTTCTCCTATTTTAGTTTAAAAGAATGGGGAGGGGTGAGAGGAGGAGAGAGAAATAGACCAAAGAAAGAATAAAAGAGAAAAAAGAAAGTGAATATACCCTCTGATGGGTATTCATTTCTGAATAAAACAAACTGAGATACTTTTCATCATTTTTGGAGTCAGACATGCTGCAGTGTTACAGAGAACACTCAGCAGGAATGCTCATCTTGAAAAACCCTTGTCGTCATTTATAGATTATGGTTTTTCTCTCTACCAAATAGTTATAGGAATGTCTTCACAAGACCCAGTCATGATTGGAGCCTCATTTGCCTGGCCCTGTTCATATATAAACTCCCAGAGAGTTGACAATCTAAATAAGGACAAGGAGGCACAATACAACTGGGGGAGAGGAGACAAATGTCACAGTAACAGAAACAAAAGGTTGCAAATATTAGCTATATATACAATTTGGAAGCTTTACTTTTTTTTATAAAAATAAGTGTCATGGAGTCAATCTCATAATTTACAGCCAGAAGAGAACCACCAGATCACCTAGTTTGACCTTCTGTATATCACAGACCACCAACACCCCCCAGCACCCACACACGAAACACAACAACAGATATTAGACCAATGTATTACAGCCCACAGGAGACTAGACTATTCTCTGCCACAGGACCGAGGTGCACAAGTACCTGAGGACCCCACAATGGCTGGGAAATGATTAAGTGAGATATATCCAGATAAGCCTGGTAAGTGACCTGCACCCTCATGCTGCAAAGGAAGGTGAAAAAAGAAAAGAAAACAAAGTAACTGCTAATCTGAATTAGGGGAAAATTCCTTCCCAATTACACATTTGGCTATCAGACACTGAGCATGTGAGCAAGAACCAGCCAAAGAGAATGCTTGGTGCTAGCTCAGAGCCCTGGTCCACCCTGACCAATGTCCCATCTCCAGCGGTTGCCAACCTGATGCTTCAGAGGAAGGAGATTTAAAAACAAACATGCATGCATGATGGGAGAAGTGGGAATCTCTTCCTGACCCCTGCTGGTGGCCAGCTGTAACCTTGAATCATGAACATTTAGGAACATAAAACAAACTGGAAGTGAGCCCCCAGGCTACTGAGTCCTCCCCCCTAACGTCACAAGCAACTCCGTCATACAGTCACACTCATAAATTTGTCCAGCTCTCTCTTTAAATTAGTTAAGTTGTTTGCCTCCACAACTCCTACTGGGAGGCTGTTCCAGAACCTTACTCCTCTGATGGTTAGAAACATTTTAATTTCCAGCCTGAATTTCTGCATGGCCACTTTATATCCGTTCATTCGTGTGTCAACATTGTCCTTTAGCTTAAACAGCTCTTCACCCTCCCATGGTATTTCCCCCTCCCCCCAATGTATTTATCGAGAGCAGTCATATCCCCTCTCAGCCTTAATTTTGCTAGACTAAACAAACCAAGCTCTTCCAGTCTCCTCTCGTAGGACAGGCCGTCCTATTCTCCTAATCATCCTACTAGCTCTTCTCTGCACCTGTTCCAATTTAATTTTGTCTTTTTTGAACATGACTGACCAAAATTGTACACATTATTCCATATGAGGTCTTACCAGTGAATTGAAGGTGCTCAGCATTTCTCAAGATTGGGTCAAAATAAGTTATGATTGCAAGAGTTGTGGAGAAATTACTCTGTTCCACCTTGTGGCCAACTCTGGCCTTTTTGCTTGTATTTTTGAAACCTATTATTAGATTCAATAGTATTTTGTGAACGAGTCACTTGTTCGTTGCTTCTCTCATACTGCACTCAATTCATTACCTTACACCTCCAGCCTTATATCATACAAACAATTACAAGTACCTCACCAGTCAAACTGGTCACCAGCTGCACCATTTAATCATAAATTACAGGGTTGGAAGAGGCCTCTTGGGTTACTCAGCCCAACACCCTGCATCAAGCAAGATTCTCCTCTGCACTAATGCTGAAGGCATTTTATCTGTGCTTCTAGGGCAGGGGTCAGCAACCTATGGCACGCCAAACACTGCATGCGAGCCAATTTTTAATAGCAGGGCAGACAAGCTTCCCCGCCTCTTCCCTCAGCGTACTGGGTTCCTGCCCCTCCTTCTCTCCCTCCCTGCGGCCATGGCCCTTGCTACGGAGGGGGAGAGGTAAAAGTGGGGGAGAGGTAAAAGCGGAGCCGCAGAGAGCTCTCTGCTCCGGGGACCTTGGGGAAGGGGGTGGAATCAGGGCATAGCCCCTCCAGCCCCCTGCCGTGAGCCGCTCAGGGGCAGGGGGCTGGGAGCACCCCCATGACCCCAGCCCGCACCCCCAGCCCTGACCCCCTGCACCCCTCCACACACCCTAGCCCTCTGCCCTGACCCCTGCACCCCCCTCCCACAACCCCAGCCCTAACTCCAGCACCCCCCACACATACCCAGCCCCCCCCACACCCCATGCCCTGACTCTTGCACCCCCCACATCCCCACTCCCACCCTGAGCTCCTGCACCCCTCGCATCAAATGGGAGCTGCTCAGGTAAGTGCTCCACACCCAAACCTCCTGCCCCAACCCTGAGCCCCCTCCCTCATTCTAGCTCCTGGCCAGACCCTGCACTCCCAGCCCTGTTCTCAGCACACTCCCACCCTCATCTCAGTGCAGAGAGAGGAAGAGAATGGCTAGAACCAGGGAGAAGGTAGGTACCTACTCTATGCGGACAGAGCTGCAACTCCAGACCAGCAGCAGGCTGAGTGGGGCTGGCAGCCAGGACGCTGGCTGGCAGGAGCCAGTGGACGGAACCCCAGACCAACAACGGACTGAGTGGCAGCGGGCTGAGCCACTCAGCCCACTGCCGGTCTGGGGTCCCGGCCACCGGCCCCGCTCAGCCCACTGCCGGTCTGGGGTCCTGGCCGCCGGCCCCACTCAGCCTGCTGCCGGCCTAGGTGAATGGAACCCCAGGCTGGCAGCAGGCTGAGCGGGCCGGCGGCGTAAGATCATCGATTTAATTTCATTTTAAATGAAGCTTCTTAAACATTTTGAAAACCTTGTTTACATATGACAATAGTTTAGTGATATAATATATAGACTTATAGAGCGAGACCTTCTAAAAAACGTTGAAATGTATTACTGGCACACGAAACCTTAAATTAAAGTGAATAAATGAAGACTCGGTACACCACTTCTAAAAGGTTGCCGAACGCTGTTCTAGGGCCTCATTGCCCTTACTGTTACAAAGTGTTTTATCAAGTATAGATATTTCCATATAGTTTTAAGCCATTCCTTCTTATACATCCATTAAACTGTTATTCTGTTAATCCCTATGGCACAAGCATAAAATAAACATTCAAGAGATTCCTGGTTATCAGCTTGGCAATAGTGGCACCCAAGGTAATCACTGCCTTCTCTCCTTCAGGGGTAAAACTTTTATTTTCAAAAGTAAAAGTGACTAGTGCAGCGTTTTCCAACTGTGGGTCATGCCCCCAGCAGAGGTCATGAAAGGGTGCCAGGAAGATCAGGAGACTGTCCCGCTTTGACCAACAAAACGCCATTCCAGTTGAAGCAGTTCCTGTCCCATGTGACTGGGTGAGCTCGGCTCCCTCTCTGGCCCTTGGTGCACAGGAGTTGTGGCGCTTCTCAGGTTTCGCCCAGCCACCCTGAGAGGAGTTGGTTACACCAAATTTGAGTGAGTGGCCACAGAGGAGCGAGTGCAGCACATGCTTGCTCTGCAACTCCCTCCCCTTAGGGACAGCACTCAACCACACCACCACCCTCAGCTCAAAGAAGGGTGCGGCATGAAATGCTTGGGAACCACTGGACTAGTGACTGGTAATGCTGGGGGAAAAGCACCCATAATTATAATCAATAACACTTAGCATTTTCAAAGTGCTATACAAACACTTGATTAACTATCAAGCTAGGGTTACAGTATCAACGCAACACTTCTGACAATTTTTTCCAGTTATCTCAAGCCTGATCTGAAGAAATTCTATACAGCCCAGTAAGGTGCTATGCACCTTCACTCCCATTATACAATATTCTTTTCAATCTCTATAAAGCCAACAGGAGTTTAGAGACCTCCAAATAATGCATGATCAGGTAAGTAATGTGCAAGAGTCCTAGACCTAAAAGTACATGTGATTAATTTACTGGTTAGAGGTGATTGACAGTCAATATTTTAACTTGTGAATATGAGTTATCAAAGCTCATACAGCCTGGTTTACTTAGCTATTTCACACATATATGATAAATCTACAGTTTAAGCAAAAGATTATTTTCTAGACAAAAGGTTAGGAGTTTACACAGCAAAAATTCCAGTGTCTCATGGCTGAAGCTTTTTTTTTTTTAAGTTAAATGAAAAATAATCAAACTTTAAAATATCACTGTTTGAAAGCCTGTTTATCTATCTATCTTAGAGAGAATCTATACAGATGAATAAATCCCTCATAACAATAAGGGAAACCAAAGCATTTGAAGCACAGCTATAAAGTAAGTGAAGGCAAAAAGTAAAGCAATATTTTGCTTTTGGTTGATACTGTCAATTAAAATGTGCATTGAAAATCAGGTAATAGCTTCTTTTTTGCAGTAAATCCTTCTGTTTTGCTTCATCTGGGAAAAGTATTTTAATTGACTGAGCAGCTTCTATACAAACAAAAGAACAGCTAGAGTAAAAATGAAGTACAAGCTAAATTCCAAACCATAGTTCAGCCAGCACAGTTCAGCTCTCAGAAATGCTCAGTTTTAAGGCAGGTCTGTCTGTCTGTCCATGCATCCATCCATACACAAGTTTGTTTCTCTTACCAACAGAAGGGGAACCAACAAGATTTTACCTCACCCACCTTGTCCGTCCGTACTCACATACACACACACGGCGAATTAAAAGTGCTTTGAGAACATTAATTTTTCCATTTCCTAATCTTTAAAATTAGAATATAAATGCCTGCACAAAACCCATTGCAATATACAGTTATATATTCACTAATATACATTAACATTTCACTACAATGTCTTTTATATATTCAATCTGTAAACTGAAAGTAAATTTTCTGAATTTGTTCTTATTAACTCCTAATACATACTAGTTCTTATGTAAGTAGTAGGGACACTTCTGTATCTTGTAATCTGTATTTAGAAATGCTGTACTATCTGGGATGCATCTCCTACAAAAATAAAACCTTAAACTGAATTTCTCAATTATAGTTTCCAAAGTCAAACACTGCATACATCCTTGAACAATTGTTGCCAAGCCAGTTAAATCTTCCATTTAATGAGAAAGAAGTAAGTTCTTAAACAGGGAGAAAAAATGCAAATGCGACTGTCTGCATACCAAACAAACCGGAGTGCTCCAGGAGCCTGTATGCTTTATTAGTAAACCTGAAGCCCTAAAATTTAGCAGTTTAATCCAGCAGTTCACTCCCCTTTGAGCACGGCTTCTCATTTCTTGAAAATGGCTGTAAACAGAGAAAGGGAGGAGCTACAGTAGCTTGCCAAGTGAAGCAGAAACTTTGTGAGTAATTTACTAGAGGAAAAACAAGTGCAGCACACGCACGCACAGAAAATACCATGCTGTATGTGTTCTGCTGATAGGAGATCACAATGTTTTCACAGAGGAACAAGACAGACCTTTTGAGTCTACTTCCTTTCTCTGAAATGTTACTTACCAACTGTGTTTGGACCTTGAAGTACAGAGGAGTGTGCAACATGAACTGAAGGTAAGAGTTTAAAATGTTTTACAACAAAGCTAATGAAATAAAGTTGGGGCCATGAGAAAGTGAAAGACAAGCAGAAATTGAGGAGTAGTGGGTAAGGAGTTGTTTTATAAAATCAGAACTGGGCATTGAATTTAAAATATAATACTAGTGTAAAAAAAGGGAAGCTGGAGAGGAGGGCATTTGGGGAAGACAGTCAAAATAAAACATATGGGGGGAACTACAGGATTTACTTATGCATGAGACTTGATCTAAAACTGAACAATAACTGCTTCAGATTTATCAAGTGAGACAACTCAGTTTCAAGCATCCTAAAGACCCAGTCCTACAGTCTTTACTTAGGCAAAACTCCTTTTGAAATGATCAGGAGGTTTGGCTGAATAAGGAATGCAGGATTGGACACTATAGTTGTATATCCAATAGGTACAGTAGTTTCTCATGTGAATAATAAGCATGCTTAAAAACCAGGTGCTTTTGTTTCCAAAAAGTAGTTTCTCTAGTATTGTAGACACCTTTTAACTATATATTTCCCCAGAAAGTATGTTTATAATGGACTTTAGAATCAGTTCATTTATGTTCATTTCTAATGAGAGTTTTGTAATTTCACAAGAAAATTATTGGACAAAAAAAAATTGCCTACAGTTCCTATGATAGAAGTATGGCATTAAATTTAACTTAATTTAAAGGATATAAACATAATGGTGTTAATCTTTAAACATTTGCAGAACCAAACATTAAATGCAGAGATAAAAATGGCACTCTTTTCAGTATGAGACAATAGAAAGGGAAGTATTCTGTGTCTGATGTAATTTAGTCTGGGGTAATAACTATTAGCCACTTAGAGTTAGATCCTACAAAATGGATTTCCCTGGGAAAACCCATGTTTATACATCGCTCCCCTGCAGTCAGTGGGGCTCCACATGGGTGCAGGGGTAGACTTGGGTGGATCCATTTGCAGTGTCCAGCTCTCAGTCTGCAAAATTAGTTGAACCTACTCACTGAAAATGTAATGAGTTGACTTGGGGTTACTGTCACCAGCAATTTTTTCAACATATTTAAAATAGTGTACACTTCCTGTACAAGGAACTAGACTGCTTTAGATTTTCAAAGATAATATCACGCTTTAAGAGACAACTTAAACAAACCTAAGATACTGTATACCACTGTAATGCTGTAGTTTATGAACACACTAAAGGAAAAACATACAATCAGCTAGGAAAATAAAACTACTTTAAAACACTGATGAAGGAAAACTAGGATTAAACAATTATTAAACATTTACCTTGTACTTCCGCTGAGAGAAAAAAAAAAAAGGTTTTCTGAGAAAAGTGAGTTCTTAAAAGTGAGTTAAGAGATTCATTTTCCTAATTGAAAAGATTTTATTTTTGGATTGATTCTTACTGCAAGAGCATGACGGATACAGGTAATTGGAAATACAAACACATACACTAACCAGCAGCAAGAGGTATGGGGATTAAACCTTACAGACTCAGAGTCAAATGCTGTGCAACTCCTTTGACACTTCAATTGAATTACACCTGTGAAGCTGAGAGCCAAATGTCGCCCTATTGTGTTTAGAAAACTCATATTGTGTAATTCAATCCAAGGCAGTTCATTCAGTTAAACATGCTGTCTAGTGACATTAATTCAATTGTGAAATCTTTATTACACATTTGATTCATCTTGTCTCCCTTTTATTTCTTTTTATAAAGTGTGCTTATGTGTCCCCACACTCTCTCCCTCTCATACATTAAAAACAAAGAATTTAAACTAATGCTGAGCATCTAACTCTCGCTTTGTGTGTTTGACATATAAGATCACCCCCATACAGATCAACACTGTGGGACAGATGTCAGCAATCTTTAAACAGAACTCCCCATGTACTTCAGTGGGGAGTTCTGCTTAAAAACAATATAGTACTGTGGGAACACCAGTGCTGATACCACAGCCATGGTTATTTTCATTTTTACAATGTTAGAGGGAGATTATTTCCATACTTTTGCAAACAGAGCTTCCGTTTAGGTTTATTTTTAGATGAAAAGTTATCCTTATGTTTATTAAGCATGGAGTAGCTGGACAAACTAGTGTACAGGGACCTTTTTAAAGAGTTTAAAGATCAGGGTTCCTTTTAAAGAGTTCAAGCAATTCAGGAAGAGGAAGGGTATATAATTCTTACCCTTCTGGAACGAAGTGAGACTGTCCTGATACCCGTCTCTTATAACATTACAATTTGTATTTAGTGTCAATGTATACATTTCTTGATTTTATTTGAAGTGCTGACTTCAGTATTTTCTTTATGTTGGAAATAATAAGGACCTTTTTATGTATATTCTGTATGAGTTAGGAAAAGTAGAGACTTGAAAGACATCTCTGAGATGCATGTTTCAAGTTGCTGGACACCAAGCCTCTCTGAACTCCTACATTATACTCACATTAGGCTTATCATGGTAAGCTAACAATCTTTAATTAATATTATGGAAAAGGCATTATTCCCGCCATAATTTATAAGAAATGAATTCATTTTTGAAATATACATTATAAATGTAATATAGTGCAATATTTGACGCAATGTGGAAAAGTAGCCATCTCTCTCATTAAACTGCAGTTTTCAATGTTAATAATAGGGGCAAAACGCTAACTAAATCATGCGAAATGTGGAAACTGAGAAAGGAATATTTGAAAATGCTATTGCAAAAAAACTTATATTTTCTGAACTTATCCTCTACGTAAGGAAGGTAACAATTAATAAATTGGGCCCCAATCCTTCAAACACTGAACTACATACATAATTTTACTTACATGTGTAGTCCCACTGAAATCAATGGATAAAGTATCTAAGTGTTCATAGATTTGACGCCTTTATTTGGAAACAACACTAAAAATACATTTAGTTTTCAAAGTTCTTTGTGGCCTTGGTCCACCTTACCACTGGCCTAATAGCCACCTGCTCCCACCTCCCATTCTGATCTATCTTGGCCTCATGTCTATTCCCTTCTTACCATTCTCTGCTGGGGAAATCACTCTCTTATTAATGCTGACTCCACCATACAGAATTCTACAGTCCATTCTCCATGTCACTTCTACTTTTTAAAATTAATCTTAAAACCTTCCATTTTTCTCCAGCTTGTTATTGGTTCCCTCCGTAATGTGCTTGTTTATTAAGGGTGCTGTGTAATAGTAGTCAAATGCATTGTACTATATATCTGTTGGAGTTTCTTTTTGAGAGGTATAGCTTATGTGTTAACTTCTCTTGTGTGCCCTATAACAAACTATTCATTATATTAGTATTAAGAATTCAGCACATGTACTAAAATTCCTCAAACATAATTTTGGGCCATAAACAATTTTATTCTAGACTAACAAGAGCCCAGGCATTTTAGCCATTTATAGCGCATAAAATGATCATGTATTGTGTGTCTGAGATGTTTTCTTCATGCCTGGATTCTATTTTTATTAGAATTTAAAACATGAACAATTTATTTACTTTTGATATTTCTCTCCCTTCAGAAAAGCTGGTAACCAGAAGGGAAGATACAAAAGTTAAGATCACTATGTGGAGCTGTGATGCTTTCAACAGTACCAAGAACAGCGAGAACCAGCATCTCTGCCATGACTTCCATCTGGTTCTTTTCATCTTTTCCCTACTCTACCTCATCATCTGTTTTCCAGTTGGCCTTTGTTACAATGCCCTGCTGGTCCTGGTTAATCTCTGTAACAAAGCAACTATGACAATGCCTGATGTTTACTTTGTCAATATTGGAATTGCTGGCCTCATCATCAGTGCCATGGCACCAATATACCTTCTAGGACCTGCCAATACAAAATGGGCCATCTGGAATTTTAACAATGAAGTTTATATTACATTACTCATTTTATTCAATATTTCATCTTTAGTTATCATGTACTCTACTACATTGCTCAGCCTGGACTACTACATTGAACGTGCTTTACCAAGAACTTATATGTCAAGCGTGTACAACACAAAACATGTCTGTGGGTTCATCTGGGGAGGAGCTATGCTTACAAGTTTTTCATCTCTCTTATTCTACGTCTGCAATCATGTATCCACTAAAATAATTGAATGTTCCAAGATGCAAAACAAAGAAGCAGCAGACGCCATTATGGTTTTTATTGGGTATGTCGTACCAGCTATTGCTGTACTGTATGCATTTGTGTTAATTTTGCGAATACGTAATGAGGCTACACCACTGGACCACGACACTGGAAGATTAGATCCTTCAGTACACAGGCTTTTGATTGCTACAGTCTGTACACAGTTTACATTATGGACACCCTACTATGTAACTCTTTTGGTAAACACATTTATTAATGCTCAAGGAAAACTTACAGATGAGAATTACATCCGAGTATTACCTTTTATCAAGAGTGTATCAAAACTGTTGGCTTTCTCAAGTAGTTTTGTAATGCCTCTACTCTACCGATATATTAACAAAAACTTTCCCCACAAATTACGACAGCTGCTTAAAAGAATACACTGTGGAAATCAAGGATGTTCTCATGAACGCACAGTAGTACAGCAAGTTATGACGTAGGTATGAAAGAATCTCATGGGGCTCAATTACTGCAGTACTTTGTATACGGTACTCAGTATGTGACAATGTTTTGTTGATTCTTAAAGATCACTTATATGGGAGCACCTAGCAAGGAGACTTGAAAAGAGCTTCCATTATAACTAAATGATTTACAGTTTAAACCTACAGATAGTAAAAATGGTTGCAAAAAAATCTCTTAAGAGTCTGTCTACATGTTATAATACCCATGTTTTCCAGTATTTTCAATGCACTGAGTCAGTTAAAAAGCATAAGCTTTGTCTTCACAGTTCTAATAATCCTGTTTGAAGAAATCACTAAGGGGTTAAATGAAGCCTTGATTGAATACACAGCACTTTGTTATACAGGAAAAAGAAGTATTTTACTCTCCATATAAAGGAACACAACTGTTTTAATTTTAAAAGTAGAGCTATTCTTGGTGGTGGCAAAGACAGCATCTTTTCAATGAAGATGATCTCTGTTAAAGATCAGACTGTTCAACTATATGTTTTAATAGCGAAGTGTTAATTATAAGTTACTTTAGTATTTAATTAATTTGCTTCTTCTCCCTTCCCCAAAGAAGGGAAAAGGAACCTAAAATGCAATTCTAAGAAAGGATATTCTCATGCAGACTTAGCTACATTTTAATATCTTTGACAAATCAAATTTTCCTAGATGTAACAATTAACAAACATGCATTTAAGTCTTCATTGCTCTCCGTGTATCATAAAAACATTTCAATGATTCAGAAATATTTATTAACTATTTTCAGGGAACAAAGAGACATTTGCCCTGCATATTAAAACGAAGGATACAATGGTTCATGAAGTTAGAGTGAAAGTAAAATGTATATGGTTGAAGAATGTCTGGCTAAGTGTTATGGTCCACAAAAGTTCATGTAACTAGAGTGAATTATTTTAAACAAATAAATATGTTTCTAATGAACATTTTGCATTTTTAAGGGATATGTTTGTGACAGTAATAAACTGAAGTCTCTTCAATCGTGGGACATAGTTAAACTTTTTTGGGGAAAAGCTTTCGATCTAGGTATTTTAAAATGGGCGAGGACCTGGAGCCCTTTTTAAGTCTGATAAGTTACTATTTTCCTGGAACAGAACAATGTGTTGCTTCCTTTAAAATGTGTCAGACTATGAGTAATCTTTCTTAAGCTAGGCTTAGTTATCACTATCTTACTTTTTAAGTACCAAAATTCAAGCACTTGAAGTTACAGGAAATGTAAAATGATACAGAATGAAAAGAAAAAAATCTATAGTTTCTAGTATTATTAAACATACATTTTTAGCATCTAAATTTAACCAGTTGAGATTGCTTTGTTTTACATAAGCAAGAATAATTTGTATTTTATTTAATGTAGAATCAGCCAAGTTATACATAAAAGAAATAAGGAAACTAATCCATAATAGGAGTAATATTTAAAATGGATATTTATTAATTCAAACCAGCACTAGTTATTTGCTAAATATTTAGAAGTGGAACTCCTTGCAGCGTGACTCTAGAATGCACTATATCAATTGAATTTTTTAAATTCACAATACTGATTGCCAAATTTTACAGTTGAGAGAAAAGGAGTACTTGTGGCACCTTAGAGACTAACAAATTTATCTGACCATAAGCTTTCGTGAGCTACAGCTCACTTCATCGGATGCAAGTGGATGCATCCGATGAAGTGAGCTGTAGCTCACGAAAGCTTATGCTCAAATAAATGTGTTAGTCTCTAAGGTGCCACAAGTACTCCTTTTCTTTTTGCGGATACAGACTAACACGGCTGCTACTCTGAAAACAGTTGAGAGAGTATTTGAAAAACAGAGATGCTGCAAACACAAACAGTGGAACCTCACTGACCTGCACGAACAGGGGAGTACAAATTAGAGAGGTTTGGGGGCTAGAAAATGTTCGGGGAGAGCACCTGATCCAATGGTTAACTATAAGTACTCTCACCTTTGGCACAGACAGCAGAGAAGCCAGAAGATGAACTGGTATTTTTCTAGTGGCTTGTGGGGAACATGACATCATCTACACTGGGCTGTCTCAACACAGTAGCAGAATTCCATTGGTTTAGAAGTTAAATTGCAAAACTAAAATTCCACATTAGTGTGTATTTACAGTTTACCAAAGTGCAGGTTAGCAAGATTCTGCTGCAGAAGAAATGAGGAGAAAAAATAACTTTAAAACCCTTTTAGTTATTAATAGCACCATTTCACCACACTCTTTGTCTCAGGTTTTTTGTCTCTTTCTGTATAGATTACAAACTATATGAATCAGGAAGAGCAAGCTCACAATCCATTTACCACTTCTTTTCCCTCCTCCCCTTCAGGACTATTCCACTCAATCCTCCACACACCTGTCTCTGCTTCTCCTCTCTGGGTAGTAATTTATTCAACTCTCCCATGAACATGTTGATTATCCTCTACTGTTCTTTTTGGTATCTTGTTCTATATTTTTAATAATTACTTATTTTAATTAAGACTTTGCCCAAAATAATTTTACTCTTAATTCCCTGTACATTAAACCACTTGAAGGACTATTCAATTCAATCATATTGATCCCTTTCATAGGTTCAATGTGTTGGTTAGCTCACAAATATCTCCCTCATACCAGCTGATGGGAATGAGCCTGATCTTTTCCTGTTACTGTGTATGATTTACATTTCACCTCATTTTGAGCCAATATACCCCTTTCAGCCACATGATCATTTGTGCTCTTCATATAGCATATGCCTTGCATCTCACTAAATATAATCTACTGTAATAAAAAGAATACTGTAAACAGTCATCCCTCAAATCTCTTTTGACCAACATATTAGACAGCCATTAAATTTTGCACATGTTCAGTATCTGCCTTTATGTTTTCCAGTATTATGGAGCTGCTTAGTGTCATAGCATCAAAAATCTTGCCTTTATTATCAAACTGTTTTTAAATGTAAATAATGAAAGGGTAGAGAGATTTACCATTGATCTCTGCACTACCTCATTAGTAGCTTATTTTTAGGATGGAAACGCCAATTAACAAGCATGAATCTCCTCCTCTAAATAATTTTTGCTATGTTGCCAAGTCTCTTCATGCTCCACTATCTCATCTTCTTGAAACTTATTTCTGAAGTGGAACTCTCTGAAATAATTTCTCTGAAAACATAGGCATAGGGATACAAATGCATCTTTCTTTTTGCCATAGCAACTGCATCTTCTCACAGCTCCAGCTTAATTCAATACGAGATGCCTTTCCCAAGAGCTTGCTGGCTCTGTTCAGTCAAGTGCTACTTGTCCTAAAGAGCCCAGACTAGTTGTCTGAAAAAATGCTTCTAACTTTCTTTGCAGCATTTCTAAAGTCATTAAACTTTATTCCATTAATTTGCTGTAGATCTCTTTTAAACAACAGCACCGTGTTACAGGCACAGAAAAAGATGGAAGCAATTTGGGGAACAAGGTGTGCCAGGACACAAGACTCTTGGTGGCTCTACCCTTGCGGGGAGTAGTTGTGGCAGGGAAGTCTCCCTTGCTTCCAGAGACAGGAGCAGCAACGGACATTCACACACACCCATCTCAAAAGTAGCAAGGGTGGCAGCAGATGTTCCCTCTTCTTTTTAAACAGTGGGGACTAGTACTTAACATAGCATCTAGGATGTATCAGCTTGGGTGGGTGTGTGGATGTGTACACCAGGTCCACTGCACTTTCCGCTTCTGCCGCACACCGTCCTCTGTCAAACTGTTGGTGGTGGGGCTTCCCATAACAATAGGTTTTGGAGTTAAATCACATTGAAATGAATGGAGCACCTCATACCTCTCAGAGCTGTTGTTTCAGGCAGTCTGCAGACTAAGGGATACTTCAGGGCACCAGTTGCACTCAGTTTGTGAGGGCCTAGAGTGCCTGTGCTTTAACCTGGGCCTGTATGGGCATTTTTACAAATCATCTGTTTCCTTCTCTACTCTGAATACTTGTAACAATTGCAGCCTAGCCTTCTTTAATCCCCCTCCCCCCCACAAGTGAACAGATAATAAAACTTCTCTTATACCCATCTAGCAGAATAAACTCTCCTCTTCTTACCAAAAGGAAATCCATTTCCTGAAGGGCAACATTAAACCCAGCATTTCTGTCCTATAAAAGTTGTTGCAGAAGTGCAGTCCAGCATCCAAGGAAACAGAATTTCTAGATGGAAGGAAACTGGCCTTGCGTGGTGTGACTATAGAGTCACACCAGACTGATTACCTCTTTAAAACACACCTCCAGAATGTTATACCTGTCTTAGAGATTTAGCTGCATTGTCAATTTTAACTCTATTTGCTTTCCTTGCACACTTCTAATTTTATGTCCCCACATAATCTTATCCCTAATTTTCACAAACATGCAGCCTCTTCATTTGCAAAGTATAAAATGCCACATTAATTTCTGTCCTTTTCCACTTACATGAAATTCCCTGCTTCACACGACTGATCTTTTATAACCTCTCTTCAGATAATCACTTCTTGTCACTTTTAATGTACTATAAAATTTGATTTTCATGTTTCATTTTGCTCTACTACTCTTTCACGTGGGGCCTCACACTTTATCCGTGGTACCATTCACAGTGTTTTAGCTTCACTATCTTCTGTTCTGTTGTCTTTTTATGACATTTCAGTTTTATTGGAATGATTTGATATTGTAATTCAAGGCTGTCCAGTACAATGGAAGGGGGGGGGGAAGGAAGATCTATTCCGTTTTCTTCAACATACTCTACAAATCTGCAGACTGTTTTAAAGTCCTAGTTTGTGTATGTGTGTGTGCCTGAAGTTAAGTATTTTTGCACATATCCTCAGAAATATTTTAAATATGAGTATATCATCAATTGATTCCCCTCCCCACCCCCTCATTTTTGTTTCTGGATTAGACTGGGTTGTTATTTTCAATAGTGAGCCTGATCTTTTGGTTGCTCCGTAGACACTATGGCATGCAACTGCGGAAAATGCTGAGAAGGCTTACTATATTCGCTCGCACTCTCCTTGAATATTAGATCAATAGTGACTTTTTAAAAAATAAACATTGAAGTAAACATTCAAATAGGCAACGACTTTGTACTGGTTATACAAATATAAAAATATATGAGCACATACATTAGAAACTGTACTTGAGAGAAAATTAAATATGGGATAGTGAAAATATAAGGAGTTTTATGAACAAATCCTTGATATGACAAGTTCTCAAAACATGGCAAACACCAGTACATCAAAAGTGGGGCCTTTCCATTTCAATGCCTGAAGGTTTCTGATTGCTTTGTAAATATGAGCCCATCTGTTTTGCATTTGAATTAATATTGGTGAAGTACTGTATATATGCAGGTAAAAGTAGCCTACTGATGTACAAAAATTTGCAAAGAATTTATTAAATTATTTCAAAAATAAGATACAAGTCTATCACCATTTAAATGTAAACCTCTTTCAATTATTAAAGTGTACTGTATAAATTTCTATTTGCATACGCTGTACATTAGAAAGTCAGCACAAGAAAAGTGACATTATTAACAGTATTATTTTCTCACAGAGTTTAGTATTTTTGAGTTGATTTATGGTTTGTAGCCTCTCTGCTTTCAGAAGAGCCAGTTATGTCAAATCAATAAACTAACAAAATTGTTCACCTCTGCATCTGCTTATGTTATTGCTACAGCTGGTTTTCAGACTGATTTGTGTTGGGTAATTGATAAAATCACTAGCTTCCATACTTTCCATTTGGAAACCAAACTCGCTTTTACCATATAAATATAAAATAAATTGACTGGAATATGAATATTGTACTTACATTTCAGTGTATAATATAGAGAGAAGTATAAACAAGTCAGTGTATGAAATTTTAGTTTGTACTGACTTTGTTAGTGCTTTTTATGTAGCCAGTTGTAAAATTAGGCAAGTATCTAGTTGAGTTGGTGTACTCTCTGGAAGACCTCCACGTACATGTAC